GTATTATTTGCTGCAGTCGGAAATAACTCAACCGCAAATGAGATAAATTGCGCGCACACAGATAATTGCATGGAGGCCCCCAGACGGCGTTGTGGCATGGAAATGAAATACATTGCACAAACGGAGCGTTGAATTATTTTTTTCGTAGCCCAGTACCCCGCCGTCTCGCAGCTTTTTGCAATTTTTATACAAGTGTATTTCGTTTTCCGCAAAGCATTCAGCCTTTTTGTTAGTCTCCAGAGTGTGCGGGTATGTGTTTTTTTTTGGCCACTGGGAAAATATTTATGTGGTTGCGAACACACAAAAATACCACCGAACGAAGGGACGGATGGGTAATGAGAAAATATTGCGCATACGCACTGTAGGCCAATTAAAGTCGATCGCTGATGGCGCTCTGCTTGCTCCGGGAAAAAAACTGCAGGGTGGCTAACAGTTGTAGTTGTATTTACAATCGGAATATTTCCAAAATTTGCTCTGCAACTCAATTTTGTTTAACATAATTACACGTTTTCGTAGCAAGTGAATAATTTTTCATTTCGATTCGATTCGTTTCGTTTTATCGAGTGGAAGCTCTCAGTGCTCTTGATATTCCTTTATAAAATTCAACAAACTCTGTCAAGAGTTTAGTTTTCTTTTGCAGAACTTCATATAAATACGAATATATATTTATGTGGATACTTGATAAAGGTATGTAGTTGTAGTTATGTACTTTATGGTACTTGTAGTAACTTTGCTCAAGTTGTTTTACAAAATTAGAAACGTAACATCGATTGTGGGGGCGGCTAATTGAAGTTGAGTTTAAGAAATGCTGCTATTCCCGAAGGATATGGGTGACTTACGCACAATGGTATTGTACTCTTTACGGATATACATACATACATACACATACACTAGAGAGGAGAACGCGTAACTTGGATGCGTGTATTGATTTAACTATAAATTTGATTTACGCTGCTTCGCTAAGATTGTGACTAATAAATTTAGGCTATGCTCTATGCTAAACACGAATCGCATGTCCTTCTTTACCGCAATCATTAAATCTTTGTCGGTTTTAATTGAATTGTTGCATTATTGTCGTAGTTTACGTTAATTTATCCTCCTAACATAATCAACTGGATAAGCATCGGTCTATGCAAACGATTTCACTTTCTCCCCTTTATATATCTTTAATATTTTTTGTTAGCTGATATGATAAGAATAATTGGCTTCTCGGCCCTCTGCGCCTGTTTCCCCTTCACATATATTACACATCGAACGTTGATGGTTCGGTATCTATAAGTTTGTATCTGTAGCTGTACACACGAGTCCTAATCAGCGTAGAAGCGAATGTGCCAATTTGTAATTGTAATTTTTGGCAAGGCAAACAAAAAACGAAACAGAAAGAATTCGAGGACTCTTGCAATTTGAGGACTCTCTGGTCCCTCCATCGCTATAGCTGTGTATCTCGTGAGAATGTATCCCCACCTATCGATTGGCCGCTAACACTCATACTCCAGGATGAACCCCTCCCCGCCCTTGGACGAGGACCTCGCATGTTGCTGGTGTGCTGGCGTCGTTCCGCTGGTCGAGGCTGCTCCTCTGCTCAAATTTACTTGCGACAACATTGCGGTGGCCGTTAATTTGCCATTGTAAGCGAGGGCGGGCGTCTGTGTGGGTGTGGCGCTGGCAACGGGCGTGACCGCGCCATGGCCGTAATAGTTAAGAGCGGAGGTGAGCGGTACGGGTTGCTGCTGGCCACGACGGAGCTGATGCTGATGCTGCTGCTTGGCCATGTAATCTGTGCTGGTATTTGCTGTTGAATTTCGCAAAGCGATGAAGGTGTCAAAGTTGTCCGCGGTGGAGGAGGCATTCGAGGTGCTGGAGTTGCGCCGATTGCTCCCCAAATGATGATGCTGCTGCTTGGCGCCGGTGGGTTGCAGTTGCATGTTGAGCTTTAGTTGGTGATGTTGCTGCTGTTGGTGCTGTGACATTGACGAGTTTGATGAGGAGGAATTGGACAGCGAAGAGGAGTTGACGGAATGCGCAGGCGGATGCTGCTGCTGATTTGCATAGTATTTGCGCAAATTCTCCAGCATGTAGCGATTGTTTGCATTTCCGACTGAGCTGCCGCCGCTGCTGCCGGGAACCGATGTTGCTGCTGCTGTTGCGGCTGCTACCGCTGCTGCTGTTTCAGCTCCTAATCCCGGCTGTGCTGTAGCTGCGGTGGGCGGCAGCGGCATCGGTATCTGCTGCTTGGTGCTGGTGGCGTAAAGGGCATCCGTGCTCTGCCCTGGCAGAGCCAAATTGATGACACTGCCTGTTGCAGCTGGTAGCTGGATTGCGGTTGCTGTTGCTCCGGATGCTCTTGACGCAGTCGTCGGTGTCTGCTGCTGCTCCATTTCCAGGCCATTTCCATAGCGGGAGGTGGCTTTGACACCCCTCGCTGTCCTTTCTCGAATCCTTTCCCGACCGCCCGCCTGATAGCTGCGGGCATAGTGAGCCTCCATGAGGTCCGCTCTTCGCTGTCGCGACGAGTATGCACCCTCCTCCGGCTCCTCGGCTCCTTCCCCCGATCTGCCAAAGCCATAAAACTCTCCCTGCTGGTACAGTGAGGAGGTGGAGCGCTGGTATCCCCTGCGACTACCTCGCTGCCGCTGAAAGTGGTCCAGGTAGCTTTCTCCACCGCCTACACCGCCGCCTCCTTCCAGGAGACTCTGGTCCTCCAGCGAGTCCTCGGCCTGCTGGTGTAGCAAGTGTTGATTGAGGGATTGGTAGAAAGTGCTCTCGGCCAGATTCTCATTATAGGATGCCGCACTATTTGGCTGATGCCAATCAGCATCCTCGCACTCGTTTACGCTGACTCGGATGCGTACGTCGCGGGCCATGTAATCGGGCTTCTCCCCGGCCTCCTCCACAGTCCTGCCTCTCTCCTCATCCTCCTCGGCTTCCTCGTTCTCATCATCGTCGTCGTAAAAGTATCTCGCTGATTTGGCGCTTTCCGCCAGCAGCAGGTCCTCGCTCTCCTCCAAAGCCAAGGCATAGCTCGTTAGGTTGTCAAAGTAGTATTCGCACATTTTGTCCGGGTGCTCGTATCGGAGATCCTCCTCCTCCTTTTCCTTTCTAGCAGTTGTAGTGGTAGTTGCGGTGGTGGGTCCGCTGAACACGGAGGCGTAGTCGGAACTGCTCATTGAGTCGGAGTTTAAGGCTGAGCTCCTGACCTTCGATTTGGACGCAATGGGCAGTGTGCCGAGGTTCTCGTAATTAGCTCCATAATTGGCCGCCTGGGACTGACTCCTCTTGTGGCGCAACCGTCTGGGCGATGCATTCTCCTTCTCCGGTGCCAGATCCGTGTCCGTATCTGGATTGGCCTGTTTGGCCAGAGCTCTTCTTTGGGCGCCACTTACCCGACCCACGGAATGGGCCGTTTGTTTGGTGGTGCTCAGCTGGTGGTCGAAGTTCTGCTCCAGATAAGCATCCAGGTAGTGCAGATTCTTGCTGAGGTCGATCTCCGACTTGTAGCTCTTGTAGATGGTGGCCTGCTTGCATCGAGACTCGTAGCTGGATATGTGCGCCCGGTCGCTGATAAAGCGGAAGCTCTCGTCCTTGGCCAGCGTGTGGAAACCGCTGAACTCTGAGCCACCCATCGATCCACCATCGCCGTGGCCCGCCTTGAAGTTCCGGCACTTGTCGCGTATCTTCTGGATTCCCTGGCGTGTCTTGGCCTGCAGACGTTCGAAGTAATTCGCTTTGGTTACTGGAGAAGTGCTGGTTTGGTGGTTTAGTCGTGGGTGGTAGGCCGTGTGCTGAATGTCGTAGGCACCACCGCCCGAGGTCCGCATGCTCTGGATACTATGCGTCCGGTTGGGGTAGCTTAGCTTGAGCTTGGGCAGCGAAGGCGGTTCCTCGGCAGCCCGCTGGTGCAGCTTGCGTAATGAAAGCTGCTTGAAAATGGCTCTCGATCGCTTGGGCTTGTGGGTTCCAGCAGTGCCTCTCCTTCCGGCCAAATCCTCCGATTCGCTGACAAAGTCCTGCCGCTCGAAGCGTCGCACTGGTACTCCGTGAAGATAGTGGTGATCCGGCGGGGGATTTGGCTGCCTCGAGGACTCAAAAAGTCGACGCAGGCCTCTTCCCCCCTGCCGCTGGGGTCGCGCACTGCGTGCATTGGCTGCACAACGTAGTCGGGTGTTTACGCTCAGGGTTAGAATTTCGTCGTCGTGAAAGATGGAGAAGGGGTTCGTGATCACCGTGGAGCTGTCAGCTGACGCCCCCATAGCCGCCGCCTGATGCGCGGTGGGCGTAAGACTGCTTACGGATCTAGTCTTAAGGCTAACGCTATTCCTAGGCCTACTTATGGCTACACCTTCCTGCTGCTTACTCTCTAGTACAACTACAACTTTGGCTTCACTGTGTTGGTTCGGCAAGGCCTGCAAGCGCCCCGCCACCTGGCCCAGGTCCGTCTCAGAGCGAGAGCGGGATCGGTGGGGCGCCGGCCTCCGCTGGCGGTAGAGCTCCTTAAGGGAGTTGCTCTGCTTGCGGAAGCGGTAGAACGGATTGTTAATGCTCAGCTTTTGGAGCAACACCTGCGTCTCCTCGGGGGTCAGAGGTCCCGCCGTCTCCCCGACCACCGGGTCACCCCCACTAGTAACGTTCAGATTGAGCAGCTTGGCTGCCGCCTGGGGCTTCATCTCCCTATTCATATTGTTCTCCAAGTCTTTCCTGCTACTTAACGAACTGCTGGCCTCACTGTTGTTGCTGCTGCTGCTACTTTTGGCTACCTCTAAAGGATTAGTCTGGCTATCGCTATTGGTCAGTGCCGTTGTGGTTGTGGAACTTTTGTTGTTGTTGTTCAGGATGACATTACTGTCGTCCAGTAGTTGTTGCTCGTCATGTTCGTCCTGTTCGTTCTGTGTGTTCTGTTGTTCATGTTCGTGTTTGTGTTGCGTTTGCTGTTCGTTGGTATCACTATCAATTGCCTGCTAGACTCTAGTGGGCGGTTGTAATATCATTGCAGCCATGCGTACCTTCATTGCCTCCGGCGATCCGTGGCCCGGATACTGCTGCTGCGGATGCTGGGACGCGGCATGAAGGGCTGCCGCCGCCGCAGCAGCCGCCTGTTGTTGCTGCTGCGCCTGTTGTTGCTGTTGCTGCTGCTGCTGGTGATGATGGAAGCCGGCGGGCGTGGTGTAAATCGAATCTCCTTGAGGGCCACTCGTGCTATCCGAGCGGGATTTCAAATCAGCTTTCTCGCTGCGGGCGAAACGAGAAACGGGAAAAATAAGAGACAGAGCAGACGAAATCGTTATCGAAAATTGTTTGCCCAAGTGACAATTGTGTGGGTGGCGGCTAAGTGGTTGGGTGGGCTTGCTATCACTGATTGCCAAATTGTATCCCTCACGCATATCTGAATATCTATTTAGTTTTGCCGCCGGCAATTGTTTACTTGGGGTTTAGGAAATTAGATACTCCCCCTCCTCTCGGTGCTCCCTTCCGAGATTGGAGCAGAAATTCAGCCTAAATGAGCCAACCGACATCGGTGGCATACAAAACGAATTTTTGGCGAAATGTGGTCGATAGTCGATGGCCGATGGACTTGGTTAGAACGGAAATTCAAAATACATTTCCGGTCTCCTTTCTATATTGATCCATGTGGTATGGCGGGTCTATAGTTATATAGACGAAATACTAGTTATTTAAAACTCCTAAACAAAACTCCCAGTGGAGGCCACGAACGGCGAATGGCCAAACAACCACTCATAACTCATGTTACGGGGGAGGTGCTCTATGAGCGATGTGTTGACCCACTCTCTTTCGTTTTGTTATTATTCGGAAACAAAGAAATATTTCAATACTCTAAATATTGAATGGGTTTCGTGAAGGGAGGGTTAGACTTTAAATCGCTAGTGACTTGAAACCGAAATGTGTGGTCTTCTAGGAACAAATTCTTATAGAACTCATGTCTTTGGAAGCTAGTGTCCTTCAAAATAGGTAGAATTATAAACCTATAGACTTTATTTCAAAGTTAGAGTATTACTGCTGTACTTCTTGACCAAACAAAAACTTGGCTGGCCAAAAAGGCAACCCACCCGCATCCTGCCACCCACTGCATATATGTATTGAATATATGAAAAATGTATAATATTTTATGTCCCAAACACAGACGCACACACACTCACGGTTGGGGAAAGCATTTTTCATTGTTCCAGTGCCCTGCATGGCACTATAGGAAATATGACCACTTTTTCTGGCCAAAAATAATATCTCAAGAACGAAACAAGATATTTAAGTTCTGATTTTTGATTTGAGTTCACATGGTCAATAGATTCAAGATTTTAAAAAAATGTGGGCGTGGCACCGCCCACTTTTTAAGAGACACATTCTAACTCAAAAACTAAGCAAGATATTTAAATTTTGATGTTTGATTTGAGTTTATATGCTCAAAAGAACTTAGAAATGAAAAAATTGTGGGCGTGGCACCGCCCCCTATTTAAAAATAACATGCTAACTGTTCGGTTTTGCACTAGTCTCACAGCTAACAGATTCACATTCAAGGTGTTGAGGTTGCCTCCTTAAATTATGAATTTCTTCGAAAGTGCATTTTTATGCATATTCATATTTCACTCATTTGAAGAAAATTAAACAATCTACAACATGGACTAAATTACATTGTCCGACTCGGCCTGAATTAGTTTAAATCTCTTTTTAAAAATGTGATTTAATTCAAAAAATTTCTGTTGCTAGACTACTTACATTTTCACTTTATTAAAAAGACAACACAAGTTTTTTGGACACTTCACATACACAAACACATAATACAAACCGCATTGAGAAGTATTAATTTCAAAACTTTTGATTTTGTCCATAAAATTTTCAGTATTTGCGTTTTTAAAATAGCACCAAAAAAACTTAAATTCTAAGCTCATGCAAATGTTAACATCAACAGCTGTTTTTAACAGCTGATTTTTTCGCAGTGGCGCCATCTATGGAAATTTCTGGTATGCAACATTAAAAATTAATCTATTGTGAATGATATGCAGTTAAAATTATTTATATTCTTTAACTTTCAAAAAATGGTTTTTGGCCAGAAAAAGTGGTCAAATTTCCTATAGTGCATGGGTTACTGAGCTGCCGGATGCGGCCAGTAGGGGCGCATAAATTGGCACGCCAGCGCCACCTGTTGGCTACTGGAGTCGCTGCATAAAAATATATCAAAACGGTCATTTATCTATGGCTCTGGTGTAAAGGCAAGCCAGCGGGTGTGCGAGCGTGTGTGTTTCGGCGAGAACGGGGCAAAAGGGGTGTGTAAGTATTACGCTTCAACTTACCTGTCTTTATCCGATGATTTATAGCCCGTGGAACCTGCGCCATGCGAGGAGGAGCGTGAAAGAAAAGGGGAGAAATTTCATATTAGAGCTGGCAATATTCAGGAATATAAATTCCGTCCATTATGTGTAGGGTATTGTGTGAAGGGTGTGGTTGCCTGTCAGGGTCTGGTTGCAAAATAGTAGAAATTAGCTGTGAAAATAACGCTGGCAATTTACAATTGGACAGATAGACAGACAGATATTTGCTAAATTTTACCCCAACATTGTGATAAATGAGCCAGCGACTTATTGATTGCCAGAAACGTGCAAATTCCCGCCGAGGCGTTTGCAAATTTTGATGGATCTCGTAGGGGTGGTCTCGGCATCTCCAACAATCCATCTAGCCCCACATATAGTAGTATCCGAGAGTATCAGGTCGCACTTGAGAGATCTGTCAAGCGGCATTTGACAACTGGAAGGCAGCTGCACCAGTCAGACAGCCAGTCAAATTGACAGCTTGATTGACAACTGAAAAATTGCGATTAGGTGCCAGGGCTCAGCTCTAGAAGTGCAGAGATGAGCTGGATGTGTGCTGGAGCACCTCGAATGTCCTTGGGCAATGGCAAAGTTCCTTCTGTCTTTGCCCTTCGCTTGCGACTCCTTGTGCAAATTGTTTTACAATTGTAAAAAGTTTTGTCTGCGTTTTGATTTCTAATTAGGCAGTGCCCGAGCTTAAAGTTCTTTTCCACAGACAGCGCTGGAAGAGCTAAAAATGTTGGGCCAGCAAACAAAAAGCCAACTCGAAACCCTTAACCCTTTTGTTAAGGGAAGCACAAGAGGGAGAAACAGGAAACGGAGACTGACCGCAGGCGTTGGACGCTAATGAATATTTTATGAGATTTATTTGAGTTTCGAGTTTCTACTAGAAAAGTAAAATAAAAAGGCGAACACAAACACACACACACACACACAAAGAAATGAAGGAGACGCATCCATCCTGGCAGCCATTTTTTCCGCCATTTCCCCAGCTGCCGTCTCGCATTTCACTTCTTTGTGTTCTGGCAAGTTTTTGTGTTTTTGCAATTAGTGTGCCAGCGGTTAGGGGAGGACGCCAAGGGAGGGATAAAACAGGCGTCGTAATGAAGAGAGAAGTTTTAATTGTCGCGGCCTTGACAGCCAGGCAGTGCAATTAATACAGGCCCGATGATTGTTCAGCTTCTGACGCGTCCCCACTTCTCCCGCTTAACCACAAAACTTACCCTTGAAGCAGCATCTCTTGCTCTTTATGGCATAAATGCAGAGGCATACCAACAGGAGAATGGCCGCCATGCAGCCCCCGGCCACGCCCATTAAATAGCTCATCTCGTAAGGTTCTGTCCATCCGGCAGATTGGGGCGGATGATTTCACGTTCGATGTGGTTGAAGTTATTGTCGTTGTGGCGGCATCGTGTTGAATTTGCAAACATTAAATGGAATTTTCATTTTTATACGTACAAGTTACAGAATGTTTATGTATTGTAAGTAAATGTGAATGTTTTTAATTAAAATCGATGGGAATTGATGTAATGGATATGAAAATATTTGATGAGCTTGTATACACTCAGAAACACTATGGAAATCATAGAAGATTTTACAATATCTATAATAATAATTGAGTATAAAGTTTAAACGCCAAAAAGACTAATGAATAAGATGTATTTTTTCCTTTAAATAATACCTTTTCCAATAAAAAGTAGTTATATTTAAAAAGACTTCTGAGTGTATACAAGAGCGTGTAAGTAGTCTGTAAATATTAAATATTTTAAGTGCAACTGTGAAGTGTATGATGTTGTTAAGGTGCTATGAATGGCTGTTGATGGGGTGGAATAAATAAATAAAAAGTCTATGCACCTGCAAACGTACCCTCCACAATCAGGTGAATGGCGTGGCGATCGGTGCCCCGCTCGTTCTCCACCTCTAGATAGTAGAGCCTCGAGTCGTGCTCGTTCGTGTGGAGGATATTCAGGGTGGACTGGTAGCAGTCCTCGCGGCTGTCCGGCTGCATGTCGTCGGCCCGGAAGCGATCTGCGGGGGAGGAAGCAAAAGGATTGTTCTTACTCTGCGAATGGCTTATGCGGCTGGCTAAGTAATTGCACTAGAATTGCACACAATTTGTCGGCGTCCGACATTAATCATTCGACTCGATGGGCTAACTAGCAAGGGAACACTGAAGTGGATGCGAAATGCCAAGGAGTGAGAGCCAACGGATGCCTGCAATGTGATTCGCTTGATTTGTGTCAGTGGCAGGCGAACACGCAGGATTACACGCACGAAGGGCATCCAAGGATGGACACGGGCAGACAAGCTGAAAATGAAGAATAATGCGAACCAGAGCCAGAGCCAGCCAAGCACCAGTGGTGCCAAAATGGTTGCTTTATATTCGAGTTTAAACTATGTTTCTTGAATTTTGAGTTTGAAGAAAAATATATCCTATGCTTTGGTAGCTTCTATACATATCTTAAAACTGTAGCAGGATTGCTACTTAGGGTATATATATATTAGCTATAAGTGTATTGTATAACTGTAAACTGTTAGTGTAAGTCGGTGTCGTTGGCGGTTGTCGGTTCTGGCTCTCTCTCTCTGGTGCTCTCATCGCTCTCATTGCTCTTTCAGCGAGCAATGAGGGTTGATGCTGATCACGAGTTGAGAGCGGAGTCAGTCGAACACCAGCAGCGATCCGAAGCGGATCTAGTCAAGAATAATAAATAAACTAGAATAAGGAAAGTGTTGGTGTTTTACTCCAGGGACATCGTTATATCCCTACAAAATCAGAAGTGGGCCGATCTCGTGCCAAATAAACAATTAATGACAATTAATTATAATCAAAATGGATGTTAGCAACGCATCAATTGCGCAATTAAAACGGTGGTTAAGTGCGTTACGGCTACCAACAACGGGAACGAAGAGCGAATTAATATTACGTTTGGATAAAATGTCAACGGAAACGCGTAATTATCTGGAAGCAATTAGGAATCAAGACGAAGACGGCGATGGAAACAACGATAAAGACGAATATGAAGAGGATCTGGAATTAGAAAGCCAAGAAAATGACAACGATAATGGCGACGAAGACAGAGGCAACAACAACGACAAAGCTGGAGTCCAAGAAAACGAAAAAGTCAGAGGCGAAGGAAACGACAAACACGAAGGTGGAACTAAAGGAAAAGATGGCGATAAAAATAAGAGTAAAGTTGGCGGCGATCAAAGCGGAAAGGACGGAGACAGAAGAAACAGCAAAAATGGAGGCGAGAGCAGCAGCAAAGACGGCGGCGAAAACAGCAGCAACGATGGCGGCAGAAACAATGACCACGACGGCGGCGAAAACAACAACAGCGATGGCGGCAGAAACAACGATCACGACGGCGACGAAAACAACAACAGCGACGGCGGCGAGGGAGAAGACAAAGATGGAGATCATGCACGCAATGACAGGAATGAAACCGGCAGAAGCGGCGCAAAAGAAGGCGCCACTGAAGAAGTGAAAAGAGGCAACGTTGCAAAGTCGGAGTTTTTGGAATTTCACAACCCAAGCATCGACATTGCATTGGGCATGGCAACACAAGTTGTGAGTGATTTTTCGGGCAAAACTTGCGCACGAAAATGGATTACGCAAATGAAAAATATTGCAAGCATTTATGGAGTTAGTGGAAAATACATTAAAATGCTGATGATTAGTAAAATCAAAGGAAAGGCAAACGTGTGGCTACATGCGAACCCTGACCGCATCATGCTACAGCTGGATGAGTTAACCGGTGAGCTAATTTCAATGTTTTCGGACAAAGTTTCAAGGTTAGAAGCAAGGCGTCAATTCGAGAACCGGAAATGGAGTTCCGGTGAAAGTTTTGGAAGTTACGTGGACGATAAAGTGATGCTTGGCCAGAGAATCGACATAGATACAGAGGAGATGATAAGTCGTATCATTGAAGGAATCCCTAATCAAGGGCTTCAAAATCAGGCACATATTCAGTGCTTTGAAAATATTGCACACATCAAACGTGCATTTGCGGAGGTGAAGTTGCCTAAATATAATGGCGACAAAAAGGATGCAACAAAGAACAAGAACGAGAAGGACAGCAAGGACACGCGTTGCTATAATTGCAATGCTAAAGGACATTGGGCGAAGGAGTGCAGGAAGCCAAGACGAGAGAAAGGATCGTGCTATGCGTGTGGCGAGATGGGACATTTTGTGGCGAAGTGCCTAAAGAACAAAGTTAAGAGCGAGGTCAAGAGCATTTATGTAAGGTATTTTGAAATTTACTTTAAGAATAACACTAACACCAGACTAATTACACAATGCCTCATAGATACAGGGAGCCCAATTTCGTTTATCAAAATATCTAAAGTACCAGAAAATATTTGTAAAATGCCAGTTTTAAGTTCATATCATGGAATAAATGAAAGTTATTTGAAAACTTATGGCAGAATATTATGTTATATAAAGAAAAAATTTAATAAAGTACATTTTCATTTAGTTGTTGTGGCAAACAAATCTATGAGTCATGATGTAGTTCTGGGAAGAGATTTTATGGAAGCATGTGATTTGAATCTGAACCTTGACACCTTGAAGATGGTTACGGTAGAAAATTTAGAAAATGTTAAAGACAGTTATGATGTTAGTGATGAAGAGCAAATAGTTAGTGATGTTAATGTTAAACAAAAGATTAGAAATGCAATTAGGTTACAAGAAGCAACGAAATTCGACATAAATGAAGTGGAAAAAGAATTGATGAATATTAATATTGAAGATGAATCGGTAGAATACAAAATTGGTGAACAAGTTGAGTATAAGGTTAGACAGCAATTTATTAAAATTATAGAAAATTTTTATGTCAATAAACAAAGGCCAAGGGAACCAGAGGTTAAGTGTGAAATAAAGCTGAGGTTGGAGGACTCGAAACCTTTTAGTAGTTCTCCGAGACGGTTAGCGTATACAGAGAGAGAAAAGTTACAGAGCATATTAGACGAGTATTTAAAAGAGGGAATTATTAGGCCGAGCGAATCAGAATATGCATCTCCAATAGTGTTAGTCAAGAAAAAAACAGGTGATTTGCGATTATGTGTGGATTACAGAAAGCTTAATAAGACAATGATTAAAGATAATTATCCACTACCTTTAATTGATGATTTATTGGACACATTAGTAAATAAGACAATATTTTCGAAATTAGACCTTAAACATGGATACTTTCATGTATTTGTTGAGAACGAATCAATTAAATATACTTCATTTATGACGCCGTTAGGACAGTTCGAATTTATGCGGATGCCAATGGGCCTAAAAAACGCACCGGCGGTGTTTCAAAGATTTATCAATAAGATTTTTGCAGACATGATAAGAGAAGGAAAAGTGGTTATATACATGGACGATATTATGATCGCAAGTAAAGAAATTGAAGAGCATTTGAGTGTACTAAAAGAAGTTTTCGAAAGATTAGCAAGGAACAAATTAGAACTAAGAATGGATAAATGTGAGTTTTTACAAGCGAGTGTTCAGTACTTAGGGTTTTTGGTGTCGAGCAAAGGAATACAAGCAAACGATAAAGGAATTGAAGCCATCAGAGATTTTCCAGTCCCCAATAAAGTGCATGGAGTTAGAAGCTTTTTAGGATTGTGTTCATATTTTAGAAGATTCATAAAGGATTTTTCGAGGATTGCAAAACCATTATATGATTTGTTGAAAAAGATTGCGAATTCGTGTTTGAAGAAAAAGAGTTAGATTGTTTTGAAATGCTAAAGAAGAAACTCATAGAAGCACCGGTATTAGGTTTATATTATTATAAGGATGAAGTAGAACTACATACAGACGCAAGTGCACATGGTTTTGGTGCAGTACTATTACAGAGGAAAGAGGATAAGAAATTGCATCCTATATTTTATTTTTCTAAAGCTACAACGAAGGATGAAGCAAAATATCATAGCTTTGAACTTGAAACGTTAGCCATTATTTATGCTCTACGAAGGTTCCGAATTTATGTGCAAGGTAGGCGGTTTAGAATTGTTACTGATTGTAATTCATTGACATTGACGTTAAACAGAATAGAACTTAACCCTCGCATTGCGAGGTGGGCTTTAGAGTTACTTGAATATGATTTTGAGTTAGTTCATAAGGCAGGAAAGCTTATGCAACATGTAGATGCCTTAAGTAGGAATACGAACATATGTGTAGTAGAAACGGTGAATTTTGAAGACAATTTAGTTATATGCCAAGCGAAAGATGAAAAGTTAAAGAAAATTAGAATGAGGTTAGAAAAAGAAGATGACAAAATGTTTGAGATGAGAAATGGAGTAGTGTATAGGAAAGCAAATGATGGAAAATTGTTGTTTTATGTTCCAGAAGAAATGGAAGACAAGATACTGTATAAATATCACAATGAGTTAGGTCACTTAGGTAGAGATAAGGTTATGGATGCAATTGTTAGGACGTATTGGTTTGCAAATATGAAAGAGAAAGTTGTTAGGCATATTGATAATTGTTTGAGGTGTGTAGCGTTTTCACCAAAGTCAGGAAAAGGAGAAGGATTATTACACAGCATTCCGAAAGGGAATGTACCATTTGAGATCATACATATTGATCACTACGGGCCAGTGGATAAGGGAAGGGCAAATAAACATCTTTTTGTCGTCATAGACGGGTTTACAAAATATGTTAGGTTATATGCAACAAAAACAACAAATACAAAGGAAGTTATTATAGCATTGAAAGATTATTTTAGATCATATAGTAGACCGACGTGTATCGTCTCGGATAGGGGCAGTTGTTTCACATCTGAGGATTTTCAAAAATTTCTCGAAGAATATAATGTTAAGCACGTAAAAATAGCAACAGGGTCACCTCAAGCTAATGGGCAGGTGGAAAGAATTAATCGAATATTAGGACCGATGATAGCGAAATTGGCAGACTCAGAAAAGGGATTGCATTGGGATACAGTTATTGAGGATGTTGAGTTTTCATTGAACAATACAAAGCAGAGAAGCATTGAGCAAATGCCGAGCAAAATGTTATTTGGAATTGCACAAAAAGGAAAAATTATAGATGAATTAAGGCAAAAGTTAGAAGAATTAGATAATACTGATAATGTTAGGAATTTAGACGAAATTAGGAAAAAAGGAACAGAGTGTCAAACAAAGTTGCAGAAAAACAATGAAAGAAATTACAATGAAAAAAGGAAAGCGAGTTCAAAATACAAGGTAGGAGATTATATCGTGGTTAAGAATTTTGATTGTACTGTAGGCGTTGCAAGAAAATTAATACCCAAACATAAGGGTCCATTTGTAATAGACAAAATTTTAGGCAATGACAGGTATTTAATTAAAGATGTTGAAGGTTTTCAATTGTCACGTATTCCATATCAAGGTGTTTGGAGTAGTCAGAACATTAAACATTGGATAGGTAAACGAAGATAAAGCTCAAATATTATGTAAACTTTTGTAAATAAATAATTAATAGTATCTAAGTCAAATAGATGTAAGAATCAATTGTAAAATATCACAAGATCAGGGGATCTTTAAATGTCAGGACGGCCGAATTGTAGCAGGATTGCTACTTAGGGTATATATATATTAGCTATAAGTGTATTGTATAACTGTAAACTGTTAGTGTAAGTCGGTGTCGTTGGCGGTTGTCGGTTCTGGCTCTCTCTCTCTGGTGCTCTCATCGCTCTCATTGCTCTTTCAGCGAGCAATGAGGGTTGATGCTGATCACGAGTTGAGAGCGGAGTCAGTCGAACACCAGCAGCGATCCGAAGCGGATCTAGTCAAGAATAATAAATAAACTAGAATAAGGAAAGTGTTGGTGTTTTACTCCAGGGACATCGTTATATCCCTACAAAACTTAAATATATCTACAAAATATGTTCCCTAAAAATGTATATAGTTTTTTAAGGGAGCTGGATTTTAAAAGTTATATTTGTTACAAAGTATCTAATACAATATTACAAAAGACAAGTTAGATTACCGAAATCAAAGATAGACACACTAGACACCACTGCAGTTCAAAGGTCGCGGAAGCTACTAGGAGTGGGTCGTGTTGCAGTTGCAGCTGCTGGTGGATGCTCATCCAAAAAGATTTTCTACTGGAAAACGAGCGGTATGTGCTGGTTGTCTGTTGCAGTTCGGATTACCGGCGGCTGACAGGCGTGGGAAGTCTGCTCGCGGCTACTCCACTTCTCCCCATCCCCCCAGTACAGACCCCACAAAACACGGACATGACACTGGCAGCTTCTCCAATCTCCGACTCCAATTTCGACTCCGTTCGGTCATGTAATTTGTCTTGATTTGCGGAACTCGTGAATAGCGAGTACGGCAAACATTTTTGTACGCCAAGCGAGTAATCTAATGAGCCCTCGAGCCTGCAAAGCCGCGCTAATTGAATTCCGAATAGGCAAAACTAAGGCTGTGGACCTAATTGCATTAACCATTTCGCCGGTTGCCGGTCAACGGGGCGGATGTTTAACCCCGAACGGTAACTGCCTATCAAATCAAATAAGTATACGCACCGATGCCCGAGCCGGCCTCCAGACGCAAAGAGCCCCACTCCCAGGCGACGCGCAGGGGCCGTGGATCCGCACAGACGACCATGTTGAGGACGGCCGCCTCTCCCCTCTTCACGGTGACGGTCTGCGGGGAGGGGTGCAGGCGGAGCACCTGAGGGGCACCTGCAAAAGACAACGGAAATAAGGTGAAAAATGCACGGAGGAGCCGGGCTTAGTTCGGCCAGATGACATTTTAATTGAGTTGGTGGTGCAAGTGGTGGTGTGGTGGCACAACGCAATCGACGAGCTGCAAAGTCGCAGATAATTTTATTAGACGGTTAAAGGGTTCATTGTTCCATCCTTTTACGTTTTAATTGGTTTACGGATTCCATTCTTTCTGAGGAGTCATTTGTGGAAGTTAAATTCTCATATTTGCCTTTTCAGAATCTACGCAAAAATTTTAAATTTCCATTAATATTAAACGCCACTTGGCGTTATAAGCTGACCAAGGTATCCATTTAATTAAACAAATTATGGAAAAAAATTATCTGCAACATGGCTGCATATTTGAATTGGACAAATAAAGGCTAAAGGCCATTTTTTGCAATGTGTCATCTTGCCATGGCATAAATAAAGTTGAGATATATTCGTCAAATAATGAGAGCCCCTGGCTTATTTAATTTTTTGCTGGCATTTTCACACGCTGTGATGGTTAGTTAGTTTGTTAGTGCTTGACACACAATCACATGTACCCGGAAAGTGCACATATATGTATAAATAGTCAAGTTTTTTTCTTTCTACATAATATATATTGTTCGTGTGCTTGTATTTTTGTGCATTTTTTCGTCGCCGACTCTGCTAAATTGCTCGTGTCCTTGGTTGGTCATAAATTATGTACGTGCTGTGGTATTCAGCACTAAATTTAAATATTTCTTGCTTCTCCTTTTTTTTAGAGTTCTTCCTTTATACTTTTTTTTTTGGTTCGTTGTCCAGTTTTTCGCTCGCGGCAGTAGATGTTCCTCTTTTTTCCGCTGGTGCTGCGGTCATAAGTTCATTTTGATTTTGTGCTACGTTTTGGTTTAGTCCGTTGCCCAGTTGCAAGTTGCCGGCCACCACGAAATTGTGTGGCAGGGACAGCGGAAAAGCGGGAAACGCGGGAACCTAGGAGGTGGCAACGCAAGCGCTTAAAATGTTTTGCAGGCGCTTTCCGGTTGCAGCTTTTAATGGAGTTTTGTTAGTTGTTTTAAGTGTGCATTAGTTGCACGGGAGCCGCACGAGGGGCGGACTTAAATGAGTAGCCCGAGGAGGAATACGTTTGTTTTTTTCCGGTTGCGTTGTCACCTTCTCTGCGGCCATGCTGGTCATCTCCATGACACTGTTTTCCATTCCAGTCTGGGCAAAAATTGACATCGAAAAAAATACTCAAAAACAAAAAACAAGAACGAAGAGGGTACATGGAGATTTATGACCGCAAACATAGTCCGTTCTTTAACCCCAAATACTCTTTCCACCGGGTTGATCGGCCATTCTTCCTCGGAGGGACTCCTTTAGATAGGAGGGAATCAGGAGTTCGTCCAGCATCATCCTGGCTGTTGGCATGTTTTGTAACTTGCCGTTGTCGTCATATTTTGTGGCGTTGCGGTTTTTATGGCCACACCACAAGCTCCACAGATATGTTATGGACTTACCCACAACTTGCAGCGACACCGGATCGGATATGGCCACCCGCTCCTGGCCGTTGATGTAGCTGGTGGCCCGGCATTCGTAGTCCCCCTGGTACTCGTAGGTGACGTTGTCCATGACCAATCGGGACTCTGAGCCACGTTCCACATATTTCGAGCCATGGGCGATTCTGTAAGGGAAAAGATTTGAGAATGCAAATGTGAAATGGTTGTTTATCCCCGAAATATTTTTAATAATGTATTGATAGTTCGTTTCAGCTATTAATTATGTGCGTCACCATAGAAAGTATTTTTCATTTGGTTATAAGAACATTTATGCCACATACTTTGCTGCCAGCTCTTTGAAGTCACTGTGTCGGACAAAATGAAACTGCATGTAGGAGCCCACATTCTCGTCTCGCATCCCTATCAGTTACCCCCTTTGCTCACTCCTACTGATTCCACTGCTCCCATGTGTCCCACAGGACTGGTGCAATCCCTGCTTGGCAATATTGAAAATTGCGTATGCGTATGAGTTATTTTTCGGTGCAGGCTGCCAGGCTCTTTGGCCAAAGAGCTGCTGCACAGAAATATTTGATACATTTTTAATATGAGAAATGCCTTTCAAGCTGCGAGAAGGCCTTTCTCTGCCAGCTCCAAACAGAGATTCCTCTTTGGTGAAGCCGGAAAAAAAGACTGCCAAGCGATACATTTATTCGGGTGGCGCTTAAAGCGGCGAACCGGATCTTTAAGTAAAAGGTCCTTTGGTAACCGGCAATTAAAAGCAATAAATTAGAAAGCCATTGAAATGCAAATCACCAGAATCGAAAAAGTTTGGCACGGCTCTTTATTTTGGCTTCGTTTATTCGCCAGGGTCCTGGCGGGACAGGAGCAGAGAAATCACGTAAATCAAAGTGACAGAGCTCCGTGTCCAGTGCCATGTCCTTGAGTGCCTCATTTGCAAGACGACCGCCCAACGGCTGCAGTTTTAGAACAGTGCAAGGACACCTGGGAGGAGATTAAGGAGTCTCGAGCATACGTCGCCCTGTCAGCGGCTCACTTCGTGGCATTGATTTATTACCAGAAGCCCCAGCGGGCGTTTGCCGCTGTTTACTCAGCACGGCACGCGCCATTTAATTTCTAGGCGGTCTAGGGGGTGGTCTGTGGGTAGCCTGTGGGGTGTGTGGGTGGCTTCGCATAAAGAACATGCGTGGAAATTAGTTTTCAACAATTGACATTTAATTTCTGATAAACACGCGCGCTCGCTTGCTTCATTAAGTCAACACGTCAATGTGTTGCATGTGGCATTCGTTATTAGATGGCGACACCTTCGCATAACAACATCCGCTTCCCCAAAGGCCCCACCCCAGACCAGATCACGATCTGCCAGAGCCGTATATGTTTTATGTTGCCCCGATTGTCTGGGGGCAAGTGCAAACAAATGGAATCACAAAAATCACGTATTTACGTGGCAGCGGCAAAGAGCTCTGGGGGGTGGGAGGCCCTGAAAGAGAAAGAGGCAAGTAGTCAGAAAGAGACGGATAACTATAGACAGTCATATGCACGGGGAGTGTTTGGATTTTTCTACTGAATTTTCCTGCTTTGCATATTAATGCAAAACGACATCAAGGACCAAAGTCGAAACGGAAGGAGCCTAATCCGGCATGTATTATGGATGGCTCAATGCTACCCTGGTGAAAGAAGGGCATGATGGACCTTTCGCACTACAAATATTTTACTATTTCATTATTTGTTAAACAATTATTTTTAAATTCTACTTAGTTTCCTTCAAAATTCCAGGTTTTCTGGATTAGTCAACTGGCAAGGGTATCCTTGCAATTCTATATAAAAAGTCAGGCCCTTCTTCGTATTACTTTCCCTTGTTACATACAATTTCCGTTGGGTAGCTAATTAAAATTACGCAAAATGCCATTAACCCCTGTGGAGGAGCTTTGGAGGCGTCTTAAAAGGAAATGTGCAACAGGAAACGTGCTCACGTAAGAGGAAAATGTTGTTTTTCCACCGAAACCGCCATCAAAAGAAAACTTATGAGTAGCTTTACGTAATTGCACAAAGTGCATGCATAATTAGGAATTTGCACAAATATGAAGCCAAAGTCTTTAACTAAATGCAGTAACTATATCTTAATTGCCATAAAATATGTTGAAGAAGACAAGTTAATAAAATAGGAATACATTTATCTGGAATTTAACTCACCTCTGCACCCATTTGAAGGATGGCATGGGATTACCATCGGCCAGGCACTCGAAGGCGGCAGGACTGAAGAGAGGAGCGGTGGTGAGGCGGTCCGGGCCAGCTGAAACAATTTTGGGCGGATCTGGAAAAGCAAGGGACAACGGAGACCAGAGCTAAGTGAAAACTTTGTCCAAGGTAAACAGCGAATTCGGGATACGTACACTTAACATCCAACTGCACCGACAGTTGCTCGGAGGTGCCCACCGAGTTCTGCGCCTGGCAGGTGTACAGTCCAGCGTCCCGACGTCCGACGGGACGCAATTGCAGGGTTTCCTGTGCCAGACGGAGAGGATTTTAATACAATTACAAATTTCTGCTACACTCCAGATAAATACCCAGCACGGAGCAGGGGCACGAGGGCAATTTAGAAACAACATAAACAAGATGGAGGAGCAGCTGAGCAGCTCGGGGACCTGAGCAGGACTAGAACTCACCTGCAGGCTGGCTATCTCGGAGCGACCCGCCCGTCGCCAGACGATGCTGGCCGGTGGATTGGCATCGGCCACACAGCGCAGGATGAGCGCATCCTTGTCCTCCTCCAAGTCGATTTCCGGCGAGCCAATTAGACGAATGCTCGGCGCGTCTGCAAAATGGAGGAAACGGAGCAATGGCAAAATGTAGACGTTCAAAACAAAAACAGCAATAGAAATCAGGCACCAGAAACAGAAACAGCAACAAGCCAAGTCAACAAGCCGGATGCCTGCTGCTGGGACGACAAGTAAACTCTTGAATTGCTCAGCAAAAACAGGAAATTGCAGAAAATTGTTGTTAATTTAATTGTTACAAACTGTGTTGACCATGTCTTTGTCTCCGCTGTTGACTCGGCATTACTGTTGCTGGGTCTACACCGGGTTGTCTTGACTTTAAGCCAAATCACATGATGTCGAGGACACTCGACTGCGACTGCCTAGCAGTTTGCTTATCGTTATCGCACCACTCACATTTCACATCCAGCCTCGCCTCCACGGCCACCGACTTGGCCGAGTAGGACTCGTGGAAGGCGGCGCACCGCAGAATGTCTCCGTGGCGCTCCCGCATCGCCGAAATCTGCACCACCGAGGTGGCCGACCAGGTGCGGGGATTATCCGGCTCCGTGGCGTTCGTCTGTGGGTGGATGGGTGAAATCTCCTGGTCGCCTGCATGGTGGAAAATGGAATGCAAATTAATTAACATAACAATGACCGGTAGATAACAGCTGAAATCAGGGGAATGTCGGTTAATCCTGCACTCAAAAAAAAGTATGTGTAAGTAAAAGCTACTAGTGGTTGAAAAGTAGCGCTTTAAAGTTACATTTAACTTCTACTTTAAAGCTTTAGTTTATATTGTTTTAGTTTTCTCCTTCGACCTTTTTAGAATACTTTGAAGAGAATCATACATAATATTTATTTTTTCGAGTACTTGATGAAAAGGCCTGAAATGTTTGAATGCAACACTTACCCAAATACCATTTCAGGGTGGCCGGAGGATTGCCGTAGTGGGAGACGCATTTAACCGTCGCCGTGGCGCCGGCATCTGCGGTGATATTGTGTCCCGGGGGCACGTGGACCGCCTCGTACTCGAGCCTAGGTCGCTGTGGCGCCACTGGAAAAACAAGGAAATTAATTAGAAGACAGACCCCTTTATGCACAAACTAGGCAGCTTCATGCAGCAGTCTGGTCACTTACCACGTACAACCAGACGCACCGGCTGGCTGGTGAGGGCGTCCTGGGTGGTGAAGTCACTGGCCGTCACCTGGCACTCCCACAGACCGTCGTCAAAGTCCAGGGTGGCGGAGCGGATCCACAAGGAGCAGTCGCCGCCAACTTGTACTGGCGGCGGCGGATGGAGGTCCAGATGCAGGACATTCCCATTGTCGTTCGTCGGCAGACGTGAGGCCCATTCGTATTTCTTCGTGTAGATGCCAACGGGCTGGACAGGGTGAAAAATTGATTCGTTTAGTGTCTGGACGGAACATTGTGGCCGGAGCAGGGTGGGTCATGATAGGGAGAGGGGACACATCATGGATGACGGCGTTGAAATGAACTGGGCGTCGTCTGCTACATGTTTAGCATGTTTAACTTTTCGATGCAGTCAGGCGTCTAATTTGGTCTCCGATTTGCACAAGCATACACGGACAAATGGGCGCAATCCCTGCCCAATTTTCACCCACAGTTTCCCTTTCCCCCTCGCAGGACCATCAGCCACCACCGTCGTGTCATTTGGCTTCGTTTTCAGTCGACTCGCCAGTCGCTTCTGTCCGTAAATTGGCATTAGTTTGTTTGCTAATTGGAAATTAAATTACAATTAGTTATCTCTGAGCGTCCCATCGTTCGCATTTAAGTATTTATGGGTATAAACCCACTCCGTTTCCGAAACAGAGCCGCCTAATTGCATTTCGGCATCGACAGTTGTCCGTTTTGTCCGTGGCGTAATGGGTTAAATTAATTGCAACATTGAATTCGTTTCCTGCCACTGGTTCCATAACCCCCTTTGAAGGAAAATGAAAGGAAATGCAAGTGCATAATCTAATATCTGCCGGTTGGCCAATTGGATGTTTGAAAATGCGGAACTGGCCACAAATGCATTTTGTTTGTCAAAAAATGATAAAACCAAATGTGACATGGACTTTTAAGCACCTCCAGGATGGGACAGAAACTAAGAAACGTCGGTTTTATTATTAAAGTCCTTGCGGCAGACATTTCAGATATCAGAAATTTTATTCCATTGACCCCAAGATTGGACTATGGACGTCGAGGGTTAAGTTTGAGGTTTTGCGGCAACAATGGACGGAGCCCCAGTGGAAGGCCAAGCTGCCGAGATGCCAAGTTGCCAGGAAAACCATTTTTTGCCAAGAGATAAAAAACCGAAATCGAACAAATATTTGGCTTTGGCCCATTGGAGCTGATGTTGCTGCCAAAACATTCTCCAATCGATATTCGTATCGGCATAATTCTCCGCATTTCCCAACTCACATTGCAGAAGGCTTCCTCTGCAGCTCGAAATCGAAGGAAAAGTCTGCCGGAAAGCCCTCTGCCTGGTTTTGTTTGCCACGAATTTGGGGAGAAAAAATGTGCAATACCCCCAGAAAAAAAATTACATTTATTCAAATGGCTGGGCTTGGATATAAAAGTATGTTTGCTTATATGTTTGGTGGGCTTGGCTGTTGTCGATATCATACTCCATTTGAGCTTTGAAATTATCAGGAAGTGTAGTGCAAGCAAACACAGACGAGGCCTGGAGAGAATTTAAGATTTTTCCTTCGAAACTTTTTGCTGAAATTAGAATGCAGCTCGGGAAAATGGACACCACGCCCCAAAACCCCCAATGTCTCCTCTTATGATAACTACACGTAAAATATATGGACAAAACTATATACGCTCCGAATGGAGGAAATTGGGAAACGTTAAACACACATAGGAAAAACATAGGGAGGGAAAGCGGAATAAGTATGCAGAAATAAGAAGAATTTTAAATGAAGCCCCAAACAGCAACATCAGCATTGGATTTTGTGTTTGTGCTCCGAACGTCCGATGCATGCCGTCCGAACCCATGTCCTTCTTCCGCCGCCCAACTCCCACTTCTTCTAGTAGTTCGAGTGCCGACACAAAGGATGTAAACATCCGAACCTCCAAGTATGCGAGTGCAGGACGAGAGGAGTTTCGGAGTTTGCGATGCGCAGCATATGAAAAGGGACATTTGAAATGCTTTCTGATTTTTGTCATACAATGGCGTCGGACCCGTGCATTTGCATAAGCAACTGCCACAACAACCGGAGGCTGGGGACGCTCCCAGCGGTGGATTGGAGAATAAAAGTTGTGCTTCAAACGCACACAATTGCCATGAATGAATAACAAACGGCAACAGCATCAGCTCCAGCTCCGGCCGCAGCACCAGCGGCTTTTTCCTCCTGATCCGTAATGAGGCCACTTTGGATTGGTATGCAAACGAAGGAGGCCAGGCCAAGGTTTCTGCTCGACTTTCCACCACAACAAATGGCCTGAACGGGATTCGCATTCAAGGTGCCTGCTCCATTTTGTATTCATAAATGGTTGGCAGAATTTGAAAAACTAAAAAATATAATACGAACAAAAAATTGTGCAAAAATATAAATTTTTAGCTTTAAGTAAGCTTGACCTTTCTTTTATTGGGAATTAAATATTGACTTTGAATCTCTAAAAAAAATGAAAGGAAAGCTAACTGCGGGCGGATCTCAAGTTGATATACCCTTGCAGTTAAATCCGGTTATACATCGCAAACATCGGATAAAGATAAATTCTTGAAAATGGGGTTTTCCCCTATATGGCCCACAGTCCCAATATCTATATCCCTATATCTTCCACAATTCTCGTCAGATTCTCAAGCGGAGTACCTTAAACGATTTGTGGGTCGATTTCGCACCATTCTGCATCAAAATCCTGCGACAAAATATTTTTTAGATTTTTTGTCCATTTTTCGTGATGGGCTCCCTTGAAAATGGGGTTTTCCCCTATATGGCCCACAGTGATAGCTATATCTTCCCCAATTCTCATCAGATTCTCAAGCGGAGTACCTTAAACGATTTGTGGGTCGATTTCGCACCATTCTGCATCAAAATCCTGCGACAAAATATTTTTTAGATTTTTTGTCCATTTTTCGTGATGGGCTCCCTTGAAAATGGGGTTTTCCCCTATATGGCCCACAGTGATAGCTATATCTTCCCCAATTCTCATCAGATTCTCAAGCGGAGTACCTTAAACGATTTGTGGGTCGATTTCGCACCATTCTGCATCAAAATCCTGCGACAAAATATTTTTTAGATTTTTTGTCCATTTTTCGTGATGGGCTCCCTTGAAAATTGGGTTTTCCCCTATAGGGTTCACAATGGTGACTATATCTTCCCCAATTGGTATGTTGGTATATATTCCTGATCGCGAATATATACCTTGTAGGCACCTTAATCATATAATGTCTTGTAGAAAATGTTAATATTTTTAATAACACATGAACAGATACTTTACAGATACCCCTAAAAATACTAAAATATTTGACTTTGTTTCATGAAACGTTACAATGACGGGATAAGCCAAATTAATTAAAACAAAAGAATTTTTTTGTTCACAAACACCATTATGCCACCAAAGGACCAACAGTATTTTCGTGTTTGGCATGAGAGCCAATCAAGTCCTTCCCACCACGACACGCTACTGTCACGCACTTTCGATTAAAAGTTACGCCGCCCAGCGTTCTAATCAACGGAGAACAAAGAATGTTCCCATGTCCAGCTCCTGTCTGATGTCCTGCTCCCCAGACCTGCCAGTGCCTCCTCCCCGTGTCCATGGGCAACTTTCATTATTGACTCGTCCTGGCCAGGGTGTAAATTACATTCGCCACATGTGAAGGGCAAAAGAACAACACTTAATTGAACCGCAGGACGCGCCACGCATATGATATGAGGCTCCTTTGGCCAGGACACGTTTATTTGTTTGAAGTTCGATTGCGTGTGTGTGCATGTGTCTGTGTGTAGCAGGGACTTTCGGCCAAGTTATGAGTTTAATCAAAATGTTTATAAACTAGACCATCGATAGATGGGCTCGCTGGGCTGATATAATTACCTTGTTATCCTTTTGCCAGGAGCACGTGCCACGCTTGTCGATAACTTTGCATGTGAGCAGGGTGTCCTCCGCCGGGTTCACCTCCGTGTATTTGGGCTGTTCCGAGAATCGCTGGAAGCCCTCGACAATTCCTGCAACGAGACAAATGGGGAAAATGTGAGACACTATGGAACTCTGGCTGGGAAATGGGAAAAAAGCGAGTAAATTGAGAAAATCGTGGAAAATCGCGGCAAGTGCTGGCTCGGTCATTAACATAAACTACTTCCGTTGAGGAGAAGGAGTTCCGGTTCAGTTCGCTGTGCATGTAAGTATGCCGTAACCCTTCTTCCGCCTTTTTCAAAATCACTCGCTGCATTTGTCACGCCCACCCGACTCCCAACGTAGGACCTCCCGCCCACACATTCGCCCGGAAAAGCGGGCAATTATGAACGCTCCACAGCATGGCGGCCATTTGCTTATCTTCACACCTCCCCCAACCCCGTCTATATCACATATGTATATGTGGGTGTGCGAGTGTGCGTTTCTTTCATTATCATTTGGCCACGGCTCCCCTTTTCCTTTTTATTTTATTTTTGGTACGCGTAGCGGAGAATTTATGTTAATTGCTGGCATGTTGAATATTTTCTCCGCACTTGCACTCAATTACACCAATTACAGGTGGAAAATTACACGCGCTGCTTGCTCAAGATAATGGATGTGGGCCCTATGGGATGGTGCTCCTGCCAAAGAGGCGCGGCCCGCCACTTTGTTGGGTCGCCTCCCTAATGATAAGGAAGGAAACGGCAAGAAACCCCCGAGACATTTCTTGCCAACTCTAGGAGGTCTAGAAGGTCAGCCAGTTCGGTCAGAAGGTCGATATCAAGAGGTCAGGGATTAATTGGGGCCCTTTGGCTTTTTAATTGCTGTTTGCCGGAGCCAGTCGGCACTTGTCATCGCTCACAATGGGCCAACTTTTGGTAGCTTTCCGGCTTTTGTTTGGCTGTCAACTTGCGATTTTCATGCGTGCTTGCGGGTATTTTCTACCGCATAAAGGTGCACTTGCCAAAAATATTGATGGCTAAAAGGTTAGATTTTGACAGGAAGCTTTATACTTACAAACTATCTCAAAAAATTAATCAAGCTTATCCTAAAATTAAAATTATTGTTCAAAAATAGAGAACCTATGTCCAAGCAGAGGTCCTAAATATTTAAGAATTTTATAGAATTTCAGAAAACGGCTTTTCTTTCCGTGTCTATATAAAAAATCGCATTCAGATGATTGCGTGTGGCGGGCACACGTGACTGCCGTTAGTCCCGCGGAGCTTTCGTCCTTTTCGTCCTGTCACCGTTTTTACCTGACCAAAACACCCAGCACACGTGTTTGGAGGCGAGGATTGTCGGGGTGCGTGTGTGTGGGCTTGGGTGTGCGGGGGCACATTCGCTCACGCAATGATTTATTACGCGTGATTGGCGTGATTGCCACTTTGCTGCTTTATTTCAACTTCCTCCCTGGCGGCGGTGTCGCCTGTACCGCTCTTTGGGAACGTCCTGTGCCCTTTATCGGGCTTTTGTATAAATTGGCTTTGTATTTCAATTAAGGAGGAGAGAGCGTGCCGCATTCAGATACCCAATCCCAATCCCGATCCCGGCCCCAGGACCTCGTTGCATGATGTTCACGAAAGCTTTACCATTGCAGTTTAATTCGTTGATTTATGCGGCCTAAACTTGAGTGGCCGTGGTCGTGGTCTGTGCCGGAATTTCACCGAGAGCTGCTTAATTCTTGCGTGACCAAACAAGAGCCGCTCCACTTAATTGAAACGCATTGAAATGTAAAGATTTGCCTGGCCGAAAACCGCAGGCAAATAAAAATAAAGCAATGCCGAAATAAAGCGAAAGTAAATACAACACAGAGAGCCGAGCAGAAACCGCTGCCGCCTATTTGCATGGCAAATAAAAATATTAAAAATAAATAAGCACTGGCTGTGAGAAATTTGAGCCTTGGCAGAGCCGTAAAATGAAAATGCCGCCCCAGCTGGCCAGCGTTCGTCCTGCCGTTGTCCTGGCACCATTTTTGGAAAAGGAAAACAGACAAGAGCCGGCGAGCCAGCTGCGATTGCAGTTTTAGCTGCCTGTTGGCCCAGCCAGTCCTGCCAGTCCTACCAGTCCGGCGTCCTCTTTTCCGGATTCTCGGATCTGGTTATGCCCCCTCTCGAATCCTCCTCCAAGCAGCCAGCTCAAGTGCGTGCCGCTGAGTGCTGCTTACAGGATTGTTTCTGCTCCTGCCTGGGCAGGCTGCTGGCTCCCGGCTTGCCTCGTGCCGTGAAGTGGCGTTGTTGTTTAGCCTGCTCCCGTTCCTCTCTCGCTTTTCCCCACTTTTTTCGAGGGCTTTACGTGCCTGTGCACAGCCTTCAAGGATAACAATTACTCTAGTGGCTGTCCGCCATTCTGTTTCTCGCTAGCTGTTGGCTGTCTCATTTAATACTTTATAACGCTGATACCCTGCACCGCCAAAACACAGCAAATATGTTATTTTAGTTCCACCAATAAAAGAAAACATGACTCTCATTGCTAATTCATGGCGTTAAATTGTTACCAGACATAGCAGCTGAATTTGTGATGAAATATTTAGTACGGGTAATTTATGCCATAGAAATAGCTTTCTATGTTTGTTATTTGAACGCAGGGTATAAAAACAAATGTATTTGGTTTTATTTTAGTTGCTACTTTTTAATTGTTTGGCCTCTAAATGTTTTGACTGCCTGTTTAAATACATTCGGTGTACTTCCTCGCCAAACTCGCTTCGAAAAGCGTGTGCCTGGCTGGATTTATAGTTTTTGCCAGAATGTCTGCCACTCCCTCTTTTCCGGCTCTCGACGCTCTCCAATATGTCAGACGCACATTTCGGTATTCCGCCTCCTCGTCCTTCCCACATTCCTCATCCTGTCTAGTGCCGGGCTGCTGCTGCTGTTTACTTTTGATGATGCATTGCAGCGTAATAATTTCACGTAGACGTCCACGGCACGCAACAAACGACAAATGGCCAGGAGAGGAAGAAACAGGCAGGGGGGGTGAGGGGTCAAGTAGGTCAACTGGTCGCGGCCTGGCTCTTAGCATCTGGTCAGTTATAAAATGCTGTTTGGGCTCTTCAACTGTGCCGGCCCACAGCGGCATTACTCATACGCAACGTGTCCCGAGAATTTTTCTTCTCCGCTGCTAAGCTCCTCTGTTGGTAGAAAATTTAAGAAGGAGTCCACAGCTACCAGTTCCTTCCGAAAAAAGCACACACACACAGTCCTATGAAGGACTCGGAACACGAATTCCCTGTTCAGTTTCGTCTCACACCACCCTCCACCACTTTGGCTTTGTCGGCAATCAATGAAAGCAATTTGTGAATCTCTTGTGCAATTCGGCGACATACAAACGAGCTCAAGAACATCCAGACCCACACAGACACTGGCACCCGGGAGGACATTCTCGGAAAGGTATTGGCAGTTAGGATGAAAAATCGTGTATGCAAATCAAATATGCAAGATGATTTGTAAATTTTTCCAAATGTATTATATACAAAACCTTAAAAAAAAAGAATGAAAAAGGCGCCTCCGCCGCAGCCACAACAACAGGATTCTTCGGCTTAAACTTTTTAAACCTGTTCCGCATCATCAGGCCATCCCCGATTCCTTGGGAGGTGCTAAGCAAACATGCAAGCTGTGAGGATTATAAAAACGGAGTGAAGAAAGAAGGATGGCAGAAAAAAAGGACGACCCCAACAAACAGCCACCTCAGCACCCACATCCCATAAAGCAACAAAATCCCAGTCCCGTGTCAGATCCTGTTTCTTTGGCTCGCATGTTCGCATGTGTTAAGCTTTTTGTTGCTGGCTCACTCGAGAAGTCTGGATGGGCTGCCTTTTCCACCGACCCACCTCCTACTTAAGCATAATGATATATTTAGCTTGCCAAGTGATTGTTATTTGATATTCAACAGATTTCTGCTCTTTGCCAGGCTTTGTGTCTCCCTGTGTGGCCCAGGCCACGCCTTTGTAAAGGTTAAATCGATGCGTGCTTGTATTATTTCATAAGTTCACAAACAGCAGAGCACACAAGGAGTGGCAGTGAGTGGCTATTTGGAATATTCCAGGGGCCACGTTGCGTATGCGTAACCCAGACTGACCAATCACCCTCATTGCATATGGAAAATGATTTGGGTTTGGAAACTGTCACACTAGCTATTTTGGCTAGACAATGGATGACACGTTTTGTCGTTTACGTTTTTCATATTTTCATAGCTCATTGAACGGCGTACGAAATGGCCTGGAACGATTCAACCTGCTTGCCCCTGGCCTTGTCCCCTTCGATTCTAGCACTTTTACCCACTTTTCCTACAGTTCCTACTTTTTCCACTTTTCCTTGTTGTTTGACACTCGAAGTTTATGCATTTATTTGTAACAGGCAGTCGGGCAGGAGGCAAGCTCGTTGATTTATTGTATTGTACTCGCTCCTATTGTAATATTTGTGTCTGAGAGCTCCACTTGAGCTCTGCGAATTCATATGGCAGCCAAGTAGCCACTCGAGTTTATGTATGTAATTTTTATATAATACGTAGGAGGACCTCGACCGCCTTCAACTGCAGTCGTCGCAGAGTTTCATTTGGTTTTATGGCCCACTTAGCACCATTAATGTCCACGGCCATCGATCACGAGACTAAAGGTTGCGTTTCGAATACGGCTCTAAATCCCTGTGCGAAATTGGTTGCCGGCGGCACTAAGCCCCTGGTATGGCTCACAAAATATGCAAAAAGGGTCGGCTTCACCTGTCGCATGCGAGGCAATTAGGGCCCAAAAGCCATCCGGGCAGGGAACTAAAAACGAAACTGGGTGGGCCAACGCGACCAACGTGGGATCGAAACGGACCGATAAAGTCTTCCCATTCAAAATTGTGACAAATGCGCGGCAATAACGTTTCGTTTTGATAAATCAGCCAAAGTCAGACAAATGAAGCCATTTGTAGCCCATAAATAAGTCAATTAAAAAAGGCCTTGGCCACGACTTAGACTTTGTTGCAGCCGCAATCAGCGCTGCCATTCAGAACACCGATTATGGCCCTGACAAACAATGTCGGACAAACGATGTTTGCCTATTAATTAAACTGATTAA